TCGACCCCAACATCACGAAGAGGATAAATAACTACACGTACTCATAAAAAATGGCCAACGCAATATTTACTAGTCTAAAATGTACTCTTAACATGGTCGTTAAACTACTACATTTACCTTGAGAATACAATATAATACTAAATATTTGATAAAATGATATATATATGAACTTATGTCGAAATAAATATAACCCGTATAGTTTATTATAATTTTATTATTACGCACAGAAAATTGTTCTTCTTTCACATTTTTTTAATTTATCTAAGAAAAGTCTTCTTGTATGAATGTTACATGAATTTCAATAAAATGATTTTCTTTGGTATATACGTAGGATTATTAATGCTCCAAAGCAGAGCGTTATACCGAGTCAATTATCATTGGTGGCACTGCCATTGATGAGTGATTCTTGGAGGGTGAAAATTAAAACATGTGTAAAAGGGGTGACAACGCACTGACACTTATACGACCAGCAACTTTTCTGAAAAACAGCCTCTCCAACAGCTTCTCAAGTGTAATATAAGGGGCAACAGTGTTCAGTGTTTGTCATTTTTACATAATTTACTAGTGTTTTAAAAATTTTTAAAACGATGCCAAAGACTTAACATATAATTTAAAACATAATTGTTATTTAATTAGCAACATACTAAATTCAAAAAGATACAAAATTGAAAAATGAATAGTCAAAGGAAGCTCCTGAACAATGATTACCGCGAGCGTGTACGAAAAAAAAAAAATCCAGGACACAATGTACGAGTTTCAAGAAAAATCAATAATCGGTTTAATACAAACAATGTGCGTACAAAGCTAATAGAATAAAAAATAAAGTAAACATAAATAACCAGGTGTCTCGCTTGAGTAAAAATCGTAGCACACCATAATTATTATTTGTTTATAATTATTATTGTTTTTATAATTTTTACTATGTTCATTTATTGTAGTATAAATGCAGCAACCTAGGAATATAAAAGGTGATTCTTTTAACGCTATCCATTTAATTTCTCTTAAAATAGTAGTTTATTTGACTATTGTTAGCTACATATCTATCGTTATTTATCTGTTATAAAATATTTTTTATGTTCTTTCCTTGTATCTTATAGGGTTGTGAACTTTATTTTTATAAATGGCAACATACATATTTAACCAGTTAATAAAATAGAATATGATATAATCAGAGAAATGACTGGTCGATAATAACTTGTGGAATTTATCAAAATTGTAATATAATTACTAGAGTTGAGGTGCGGGCACTGCTAATTTTATCACTAGACATTTTTCGGCCTCACATCTCTAATTTCTGAAATACTGGTCTAAAAATTGTTATCGACTGGTAATTTTTAAATTATATCACCATCTAATTAAAATTAAGTATTTGAATATAACCATTTGAATTATAAAATTTTGAAATAATAGCAATTGAAGATTTAGAAAAGGTGATGAGAGAGGTAGTGCTCTATTTTTACCATAATGTACATTCTACGTTGTGCACTCCACTCGCTTATAACTAAAAGTTATAATAACTCAAAAAGTAGTAATACAATATTGGTTATCGACCAGTCAAAATTTAATTTTCTATTTAATAATAAAAAAATAATAACAGGTTTCCATTTAACTTCCGAAAGTTATCCCCAAAATGTATCCTTAAAAATAATTTTTTCTTTCAATAAACTTCACATTTATAGTGGTTTATTAAAATAAATAAAATTTTTAACGACTTATTTAATGAAAAAAGGGGGTAGTATACTTAATAAATCACCCTGCACTTAAATGAGTATTTTAACTTTTAAATTATATTAAATGATTAATACGAATAAAAATGATATCAACAAAAATAAAGTCAACAAATTAGTTAGTTCACAAAAAAAAAAACTAAAAGTTAAATCATTTTTTAAATAAACTTTTTAAAAAGCAATATAAGTTTTTACTGGGAAAGATAGCAATTCCTAATACAATATATAAATATTTATCGCCCCATTCTCATTGCCTCATACAATTGTTTTATTAATATTTTAGATTTCATCGCAATATAAGAAAAATACTTTGCTACAGTTATTTATTATACTATATACACGTGTATATGTGTGACTTCTTCTCAAATACTTTAGATAAGTGGGCGGACACGATCATGTTAAATCGTATAACTGACTGACCGACCAAAACTGTTTACCAAGATTTAGTATTCAAAAGATCTCACGCGGTCATAAAAATAAAGAAAAAATTAGCGCACGCTTCATAACTGGAGATATATAAAAAATCATTGTAAAATCTTGTCGTTATTCTTGAGGAACAATTTTGTTTTTTAACTGCACATATTTCAATTTTTATGTGAGGGAAAAACTGTTATATTTTGCATTCTTATTATTATTTTTTGCGTGGCTATAATTTACTTTAAACCGTAAAGAGCAAATAAATTGTATTAGATGAGAATAATATAACAAGTGCAGTCAGTGTTCGGCCAAGTACAATATAAATCACACTAGATGCAGCTGTTATCAAGAAAAACCTATCAACAAACTGAGTAGTGGATCTAAGGCTGTGGTAACAGAAGAAAAAAGGAACAGGGTGGGTGCGCAACAACGTTTCAAGAGAGAAAAAAAGCACACTCTTTCTGTGTATTATCTTAGAGCAAGAAACTTCTATGCATATAGGGTAGGCTACAGGATAAAGCAGTAAGCCCAAGAATCATAAACATTCATCAAATTCTCAAGGTTAACTCGCATTCACTAACTCCCAACGACCAACGGTTCAGCATCGAAGGAAACCGGTTACTAACACACATGCACAAGTAAAAAAGTATCATATACACGCGTGCACCGGTTCGACTAAAGAATAATGTTACTTATCGGTAAAATAAAAATTACATTACTATAAACGATACCGTACCTCAAGAGAACAGAACGGATAATAATATTAATCCATAATTATAATATAATTAAGTTATTAGATACCCCAAGGAGTTGTTTTATTTATAAAACCATTTTGACATGAACAATAAAAAATAATCGCAATGTTCAAACAAAGTTCTACAATAAAATGTATACAAATAACTTTGTATAATTAAATACATTTTAAACTGTTAAGCCATCGCTTGAAACTTAAAATACAAGGGTAAAATGACATCCAATGACACGTTTTTGATCTACGACAGAACACTTTTTTGTTTTTTGAACCATTAAACTCTTGACCAATTAATTATTTGTCGGATATTAATCAAGTCGGTGACCGTACATCCTCATCCTGTACTCACGGTATCAGTACAACCGTACATGCAGTATGGTGGTCGCGGATCAGAGATTTTAATAAAACCACCGAATGATGGATAATCACTTTTTTATGCGCATAATGACAAACTGTAGAAACATTACGTAGTGAGGTATTTCAGCGGAAAACCGAAACGAATTTCGAAAAATTATGCATTTAATAAACTTGGTTTTATAACGATTTACCATGAGATAAACAATGATAATATCAATGCAAATTTACCAAATTTAATTTAGACGAGTTCACACCATATTTGTATAAAAATAATTGTTGAAACTCACTCATTCTATTATGCAAAAAATATACAGTATGGGTGAATAAATAAACGCCACTTCATTTGTGTCGTTAATAAATTAAATATAATTTTTTTTTTTTAATAATTTATAATTATTAGATATCAGGCTACACTATCAAGAAACGTAGATTTAATAACCCGCTATGAAATATAACTAAATAATTTCCTTATAATTTTAGTATGCCAATTACTATCGCACGCAAAATTTTAAATAAAAAATATAACTGACACACAATAATTGTTCATATTTTTGACATTAAATTATTGTAATTAAAATAATTCTTCCGCGAATAGAGATTATTATTATTAAATTCACTTTCTGAAACGATTGAAAATTGTCAATTATAATTGATAAGGACTTGGTGCAACAACTAGATTAGCTTTTTTCTAACTTTTTCAGAAAATAACTTTTAGTTATTTTTGAATGAATATGATTATTCTATGTAATTCAGTATAAAACGAATTCTATATTAATATAATTTGTGGAGGTAATTAATTTATTAAACACATACTACCATTACTTTTAATGAAATATTTAAAAAAAAAATGCTATACCTGACTTATCTGAACTAAGATGAACTTATCTGGTTGGTCATACCAAGCCCTTCAATTGTGCAAAAGCCAGCAAAGAATTAAAAATATCAATGTATTATATGCTAAGTCGTTAAATAGATAAATAAATTATGTATAACAATAAATACTTCTTAAATTATCAAATATTAATTTCCCAAGGAATTATTATTTTTTAATTCAACGATATTTAATGTTTGTACAAAAATAGATATTAAACTATACCAAGTAAAAAAAAAAAACGAATACTAAATTGGTTATAAAATAAAAGTAATAAAAGAAATATTTAATTATAATGTGCCTTCGATATTAGTCGACCAAAAAATATAATTACTTGGGACCCTTCATTAAAAACTACCATTATAATGTGTCGTTAATAAAACATTTACCTATTCGTAACGCCCATAAATATATTGATAATGGTGGTATACTTGACTGGATAAACAATCTATTTACTAGAAAGTAATAAACCTAACTGGTTTTGTTTTTAGATTATAGACACCGGCGAGAAGGTCCATTTAAAATTCTTATCACGAACTTCAATGTTTTGATAACAGCAGAAACAATAACTCATCGAGGGATATTAATGCATCCACAGTTCAACATCACATAAAATTTAACTATTTATATGTTAAAAATAAACATAATATAACATCAATAAAAAACACCCGATACTATCAAAGTGTTTCTTATACAAAAATACTACATCTTGGCCGATTGCGTGTACCCAGTGCAAATACCAGACCACATAAGCAGTGAGCTATCCAAACTGAATACTGGAGTACAACTCGACCGGCTTACGGATTTTTTTTTAGGGTTCGTTATCGGACAACAAGACTTGCGGATTTTGTGGTTTGTAACTTATTTTGGTACTTACATTGGATTCGACGTGTTCCAATGAACGGTGAAGGACTTTGTGCAATCGCTAACTGTAGACAGCAATACGGTCTCAAAACATATCAGCAACACTAACGTTAGACATGATGTGATTTTCGTACAAGACATAGTGGTTCGTACTGTAGTTTGACGAGCAGACGATGAAAAAACCCTTAGGCATCCGGGTAAAGCCGGGAATCCAAATAGGTCGTCGAAGAGTACCATACTCGACTTTTGGTTATTTAAATGATATTTAAATTATTAATATATGATATACGACAATGATAAAATTATTACTTAAATAATTAAATGTAAGTTAAACATCGACAATAATTTTATTATTGTAATTGTATGACTATTACAAGTTAAAACTTGTAAAGAAATAAAAGTAAATTAAATTTGATATATCATGTAACTTTTTGGTCGCATCCGGGCGAAAAATTAGCCACCTTGCACAACAGCTCGGCGCTTGATAATAAAATAAAGAATAAAAATATTTTGAGATTAAACCAAATTTTTTAAGAGAAAAATGCTCTCAAAAACCAAAGCCGATAGCAATCCGTTGCGTCTTCATGCGGCTGACGGCGATCGAGACACATCGACGTCGATGGCCGCTACAAACCATTGTAAGGCACGATCAATGTATTTCTAAGTAATTGTGTTCACTAAATATCGAGCAACTATATTAAATCCACACTCTACACATACACAATATCGGGCCAACGTAATTTTTATGTTCGGCGTGGAAAAAATTAATTTTAAACAAACGGAAAAAATTATAACCGATAAAACGGCCGTAACGGCGACACGATGTAAACGGACCGCAACAGTGCACACGATACAGGCGGTGCTTCGGTACTAATGTCGACGAACTAGCCGTGTGCGTGCAACGGTCCGGCAACACCGCGTGCCAAACACCACTGCTGAATAAAGTTTTCACCACAGCGCTGTCTACCAACCGACTTCAGAACTACAACCAAACACGCTATCTCTCCAGAAGAAAATTTAATATTTTTCCCATTGCTACAATAACTATAACTAAGATTTATGAAAAATGTGTACTTATTACATAACAATGCATGTTGCGACTTTAGTTCAGTGTTGGTTAGACCATTTAACATTTAAATATTGTCAGTTGTTAAAATTTTATTTTGTTTTTAATTTAATCGTTTAGTATAAATAATAATAATTGCTATTTCGTTTCATAAGCAACAGGTAAGTATTACATTAATTTTTCGCAGTAATTTCAAAGTGTATCCACAAAGACCAATTGCGTTAACCAATTATCATAATACTATCTATACACTGGAAAAATAAATATAGCCCACAATTTTATTATTGTTAAATCAATAATATTTTTGTTACACAAACAAAAGATTGCTTGACAATTTTTCTATTTTCTCAACATAAAATTATTGTCGGCTGTATATTAACAATAATTATTAATGTTTCTAGGGTATTTTTAGTATAGAAAATTTGAATTTGAACAAAACCAAGGTTAGTTTTCACCCGTTTCTGTTGAAAAATAATAATAATTTTAAGTAACTTTTTCGAATAAATTAAAAAAAAAGTTAGTACCATTTACAGTATAATTTTATTTTTCAGTAAATTAAAATTAATTACGCTTCTAAATTAAAATTTTCCATGATATGACACTTTTAAATGAAGAAATTAAAAAAATACTAACAAAACAATATTCATTTATGAACTATATCACTATGTTTTCTTAAAACACTCATTAGTTTTCATAGATTTTTCATATGCAATATTTTGTAAATATTTTTGACAGATATCAATGAAAAAAAAATAATTAAACCAACTATAATTGTAGATTATAGGTAATTTTAATAATTATTCTTTAGACCTTTAAGGATGTATTTTAAATAAATAAATAAATAATAACAACTCTTGAATACAGTACTCTTATATAGACTATTTTTAGAACATTTTTGTTGAACTTGAACGTATTGTATAATATAAAACAAAAATTTATGTAAAATACCTTTAATAACAGATTTTTTTCAAATAAGATTGAAATGATAAACTTAATAGCTAACATTATGCAGGTATATTTATAGACTAAGATTAGTTGCATTAATCTTGATCTAAAATGGTTGATACGCTGCACAAGACGTTTAAATAGTATAATAAATAATTTATTAATTACCTACATACTCATTATACGTCCATGAGTATAAATTAGTATACTTAATACTTGTACATTAATTAAACAAAAAATGTATTAATTTTAAATTTAAATTAAAATAAAAATATTTTGTTGAAAAAGTATACAAAGAGTAAGCGTTCTTACTAATAACTCATAATGTTTTAACTACTTAAAATTTTACACTTTTTTAATCATTTTAGCTTCGATGCGAAGCGGAGAAGGTATTAATTTTACTATGATGTGTTTTTTTTTTTTTTTTTTTTTTTTTTTTT